GATGCTTTTCCTTTCTCTTCTCTCTCTCCTTTTCTTCCCCTACCCTTACCCTATCCCGGCCGGCTGAAATAATTCCTGCCACCGAATGCCTTGCCATACCCTACTCCCTTCGCCCTTTTCTCCCTTTCCCTTTATGTAATCCTTAATCTCATAATACCCTAGCTGTGCACATTCCCTTTGTGTGAAGTATACCCTCTTCCTTACCAACAAACATCTCATTTTCCATAATGCCACCCTCATTCCCATGAAGATCACCCGTACTTCCCATTGCCTCTCTCGTTTTACCAGTCCGTACACTGCGCTTTCATATGAAACCCCCTGTGCCCACCCTATCGCCCTTAGAAATGTCCCTACTCTTCCCCACACCCTTCTTGCAAACGTGCACTCCCAAAAAACGTGATGCACCGTTTCTTCCTGCGTACAGAACTCCCTCGGACACTCCACTGATCTCACCAGCCCCCATCGGCGTAGTACTTCCCTGACTGATAGCACCCGCCTAACTATACACCACGCTATTTCCCTATGAATCCCTTTCCACCTTGCATCTTCTATTCCCTTCCACACACCTCTCACCTGTTCCCATGCCAAATCCCTGTCTGTTAACCCATCTTTCTCCCTAATTGTGTTGAAAATCACCCTTGCTTTTTGTAGTCCTTCCAGCCCCAATTTGACAAAACCCTTTGCCCTGACGAATACCACCAGCCTATCCACGTGCTGCGATGGTTTTCCTGCCCACATTCCTGTCCACCTTTCTCTGAATATCCCCCATGCCCTCAGAACTCTGCCTCCCCAGTACTTTGCCCATTTCCCTGCTATTCCTTCCCCTTTCCGTGCCTCCCTGACTAATGTCGCCACCCCATGCCCATATACGAACGTTTCCACCTCTGGAAAACCTGGGGGGGTGTTACACTTGCTCCAGCTGGCTGCGTCCTGTTAGTACTGGCCAGTCATGAGCCTGTCCTGATGGCCTACCTTTATGGGAGATTAGCCAGTTAATTGAATATCATGACTTTGCACCATGGCCCCTCTAAATTGATGGCCCATTTGCCAATTAATTGCATAGATGTAGCAGGGGCCTAAATTAGTTGTGCCCCCCTCCTTTCTCATTCAAACAATCACCCTGAAAAGCAACTCACTGAGAAAGATGTTTAGCCTCAAATCAGGGTAGAGATGCACCTTATAGACCAACTTGTTCAGTGGACTGACCAGATGTGAACAAATGAATATCACACACAAGGGACTCCAGGTGACCCCCCATCCCTAGTCCCACAAGTTGTGCTTCACTCTCTCCAAAATTCAGCCTACAAGGTGCACTTCTACCCTGCCTTCTTATGAATGATGGGACCACTTGCTCTTGATCCAATGTTCAGACCAATTCCATTATCAAGTTTTTCTGTCCTGGATCCCCAAGACAAGAGGTAAATGAAAAGCAATGCTTGGTGTTCAACATACAGAGGTAATAAGAGGCAATTTTTCAAAGTGGTACATAAGGACTTGTATGCTGTATTTCATGTTATGAGCATATATATTTTTAATTATACTTCCAAATAAAAAAATGCTGTCAGGCCAGACTGTTGGTTGATAGGCTGCACTGCCACAAATTCAACTCCTTCCTTCACAGGCGATCTAAGGTTGAATGGCAGAAAAGAATCAGGCAGAAAAACAGAGTTCAAAAGGTTCTCTCTTCTCTACACAATTAAGAAGCAGCATTGATAAACACTGGAAAGAACAGTATCTAGAAGGCTTGAAGTCCGGATATAGATTAAAGAACCTTAAGGTATCTGCTAAGTGCGATACAGACACTTTCATAATGCTTCACACTACACTTGCAAGGTAGAAGTGTTATTCTCATTTTGCATATAGGGAACTGGAAGTATAGTAAAGAACAGTGACTTGTCCAAGACTACACAGGAAATCTGTAGTAGAGGCAGAAACAGAGAGAAATTTGGCCATATTACTATCTTTGAATTATCTACTTCAAGTAAATAAGCATCTCATCATGGATGCATATACAAAACCTTATAGTTGGGGACCTACCTAATTCATGGGGGTCTGCTCCCCTGATTTTGCACCACACCAGTTGATTTTTGTGGCAGAGCGCAGCAGGGCCCCTCCACGCCTCTGATTGGCTAAGGGGTCCCAGAAGCCCCACCCCTCCCTGGAGATTGATAATGGCCATCTGTCAATCTCCAGGGTGGAGCAAGACTTCTGCAGCCCCTCAACCAGATGTGGGGGGAGCCCGGCTGCACTCAGCAGTGAAAAATTTCCCCTTTCCTTCTCCCTCCCTGGCCTTGTGCTTCAGGACACCAGAACTTCTCCGTTTTCAACTCCCTCTTCCCCCACCTTTTTTCCCCCAACTTGCTAGCTGTTTTCGAGCTTTTTTGCTGTCCCTGCACTTTTTCGCAGGGACCTGGCTTTTTTTTTTACTAAGGACCTACCAATTCGCAGCTTCTGCAAAAAATGTAAAATCACGAAGTTGGCACATCCCTAATTATAGTACTTCTATATGAACAGTTTGTTAAGATTGTTAAAATATTTCCCTAAATTTGCAGATGCTAAGTTGAAGCCACTCAACGGTTCCATTGTCCCTCCTAGATCCCAAGTATTTCAGTCTGTAGGCAAGCAATGGTCCCACTGAGTTCAGTGGAAGTACAACTTGTAGGATCTGGCTCAGATGACTACTGTGAAAAAATACAAGGCAAATCCACCCAACATTAAACAATAGCCTCCTTCAGAGATCTTGATCTCTAAATGTCCACTAAGATGGTTTGTCTGCATCCATGGAAACTGATTTTGATAAAAATCTTTAAATAATAGCCAAAGAGCCTAACACTTTTCTAGATTTAAAAAAAAAATGACAATGCATATTGCAGTACAATAATAGGGACAAAGGTTTGAAGGAACGCAGATTTTATGGGTCACCAGAATGGGTGAACCATGAACATTTAATTCAGCTTTCACTGTAACTCCTCTTTAGGTACTCATACATAATTTCTACAAAATAATGTACTGCAAATACTGTCAAATTACTGTCAAAAGGGAGATCTTTTATTATTTTACTGTAAAATACAAGAAATGCTTAAAGATATATTCCCCCATCTCAAAGTTTCTGAAGCTTTTAGATACCTAAGCAATTAAAAACTGCTTGTAAAATCAGCATATCACTTACCTCCACCATAAACATACATTAAAATATATTATAAGAGCTTCACTTTATTAACATACTAAGCTTTCTTCTTTTAAATAGTCAATTTGTGCTCTTGACATCCTCTACAATATACTGCACCCCTCTCAGTATGTTAATTCATCTTTTAGCAACTGACATTTCCTCACTACGATCAGTCTTCAGATTCTTACATTTTCTCAAAGAGAAAAATAACACTATTTTTTGGTTACTCCTCAGAAATATAGGGCTGGAAGAGACCTGCTGGAAGGGACCTCATGCCCCTTCCTATTGCAAACTACCATATTATATAATCCTTTTTTTATAAACTAGCCAGCTTCACTGTAAGCCGATTCTTTTTTTTTTTTTTCTCCCAATATTCCTCCTCGGAAGCTCTTCTACAGCCTCACTGGTATGATGGGTAGATGTTTTCTTCTAGCTTCCACCTTATATAGACTAAAATATAAATGGAAAAGTTAATTTACTAAGCAAGAATTATGAATGTCATTTATTGAATGGGCAGAAGATCCACGAAATATCTTAAGTTATTTTCTCCTCAAGTTTTAGTTGTTGTCTTTCATCCACTGCTCGATCCACTGTGTAATTTGATCTAAATTCCGCTCTAGGTCCTCTGGTGTATTGCTGGGCAACTGGTGTACAATCTCTTCTTTGTAAGATAACATGGCTTCTTCATAAATCGTCTGAAAAATTTCACATTGAATGTTGTCTTGTAGTTTTTTCCCTTTGTACCCTCTGGAAAAAACCCCCCAAAGCCGTAATTGTTTAGATATACAAATAAAAAGAGGACTCAATATAATCATTTTATACAATACTAAAATTTTGTATCCCCCAGCAGCTTTTGTGAAGCTGCCAGACAATACTGGCTGCATACAGGTCCTACATTTCTACTAAGAGAATCACCACTCCTCCAGCAGAAATTCGGAGTGTGCAAGCACTCAAATTTCTCCCAGAGAAAATATGTCCCCTCCAGCAGAAAGATCTTCCTGGTTGATACCAGGTATCAACCTGGAAGCTCTCCCCCACAAGAGACTCTCTTTCACAAGAATGAACACCTGGCATTTGCCCTGCTCTGGGGAAGGCCCAGGGAGCAGTGGAAGGGATGGCTGTAGGCTGAATGCCTGTACTGGTCCTTCTTCTGAAAGGATTTATAGCAGTAGAAATTTCTCAGAAATAGGAAATGAATGATTTTCTCATAAATTTCAATTGCCAGAAATTAGCATCTGTTCATACTCACAGTGTCTTTCCTTTACTGTACTGACCTACCTGCTTTCAAGCCTGTCATATAGAAACGAATTTTCAGTACGAAGTACAAATACTATATGAAACCACCGTTCTGGGAAGAAGTCACAGCCATGATAATCAACAATAATTCCACCTTCACTCATTTTGTCTTCCAGCTCGTCAATTACCTACCAAAGAAACAAAGGCCTGTAAAAGCTAGCTAAACCTTATCTGGAGTTACAAATGAGCAACAAACATAAGTTGGACAAGTCTGAAGTCGGACTTACCCGGTCTTCATCCAGAATTGGACATTCATATTCCTCATCAAAACCGTCATATAATTCCCCTAAAGGAAAAAAATAATATATGCAGTTTGCAGGGCAACAGTAGTAATTTAGAAATATATTTATAACAATCATACACTGACAAATAAAATGCCAATATTTTAGACCCCTTAAAAGTCACTATGTACTATTCTTTCCCACAAAAAGCATAAACATCAAGAACAGCATTATCTTGAACATAAAATAACTTTTCCTACTACAAGCCATTTACTACTAAAATATGTCTCCACACTGCAAAGTTAAATGGGTGGGCAAAGCAAGAAAGTGAACTTGGCTAAGGGTGGCCAACATAGTAAGACCAACTGCTCACCCTACACCTTTAAAAAGATGTGGGCAACATCCTCCATGTGTTTGTCTCCTGGTTTTCTTAAGGCCTTAAGTAACAATCCTCACTTCTTTAAGTAGTCCTTTTGATTAGACAGGCTCTGATCAGTCATCTAAATCTGTCAGGTTCTGTCTTATGCATACACCATGTCAATGTCATGACACGACTGTGACCACCAGGAACCCTCAAACGAATGGGAGATTTACAACAGGGTCTTAAGGGCACTGAAAATGCCTGTATTATGTGAACTAACATTTTTCATATCATTAACATAAAGCACATTTGTAAAGGAATAGAGGAGAAAGTACGCATCAAATCTTGATCATAGCATTTTCTGACTCTAGTGCTTTATTGTTCTGCGTCAGTTTTTCTTATATCCCTTGTATGAAATAAGAAAACAAAATAACAACAGCCAACTCTGCCTCCTTCTCAGGCTGATGAAGGAGGATGAGCATGGACTGCCATAAAAACCTATGAAAAAACCCCTCATTTTCTATCACCCCACTCTTCTAATTACCTTATCAGCACTGAAAATTTAAGTAACATTTGGGGAGGAGGGAAAGGAGAAACCAGAGATTGTTTGAGGGGGAAACTCGGGAGGAAAAAAATTGTAGCGGGCATTGGTCTGAACTGCTCTTGTTAACACACTCAAAATGATGGACAGAGCTATTAACAAGAGTAACTACCTATCTGTTTATTTAAGCAAGGAAAACATGGGGTATTTTTGTGTTAACATCAACATGAGCACAAAGCTGGTGTTTATCACAACAGAAGTCACTGTACATGAGCTCTCCTTAACCAATCCAAGCAAGTAGTTCTCTTAAAAGAATTCACATACATTCAGTCAGTATCTAGATATCCCCCGCGTTTTATATGTAGCTAATAAGAGCTCTACTGGGACATACTGTCATAAATACAACTCACCTTCTTTTGCCAGGTCCCCCACATTGATGTACATCAGCCCTGCTCTTGCGGCAAGCTCCTTGCCCAGTGTGGTTTTTCCTACACCAGGTGTACCTAGGAGATGCATCACAAAAACATGAAGTCATAGTACTTTAAACAATACCGATGCAGCAACACAGCACTATACTATGTGCAGGTGCCACAGGAAACTTGCTAACGAACCAGGGACAATGATGCTCCAGTGACTTCAAAAGAGCAAAGGGAACCACAAAAGCAACTAAGCAGATTTTCCTCCAGGGATATCTGAACCCGTATGAAGCTATTATCAAAGGAGCGCAGGGCGTGAAGAGAAGCAGGAGGGCGGGGGGCTGCGAGCCGGAGCCGCCTCAGCGAGGGGCAGGGGAAGTCTGCTCCATACAGGGGAGCTCCAAGCACGCCCCAGGGGGAGTCTCCTGCGAGTCACTCAGCGCCGGCAGCGGCTCCTGCGGACCGCGGGGGTGCTGCGGCCAGACGGATACCTCCGCCCCCGCTTCCCGCCCCGCACCTGTCAGCAGGATGTTTGGCCGTTTCATGCCGCCGCAAGGAGAGCGCCGTCACCGTAGCAACACGTGCGCGGGGGCTTCCACCACCTTGAGGCGCACGCGAAAGACGTCACCGGCGCGCGGTGGGGCGAGGCGCGCAGGCGCGGTTTTGGCAGCCCTATGCTGCAGTCGGCCGCCGCACGACCCCGCCCCCAGAGGTAGCACCGCCGCAAGGCCGGCCCCGCGCCGCCCGGCCCTGCTCCTCTCTCTGGGCGCTGGGGAAGATAAGCCGTGCTCGGCCCGCTATACCGTCCCGTGCGGTGACCTGCCTCCCTGCCCCGCTGGGCTAGTGTTTTTCCCTGGAAAACGGAAGTTTTGTTGCTTTTTTTGCCCCCCGGCTCCAGGTGGCGGGGCTGAGGCGCTGCAGGGGACGCAGCGCATGGGGCAAGGCAGATTGATGATGTCCAAAAACTCCTCCGGAAGAAAACCAGCCGCAGTCCAGGTAGGTGGCGAATGATCCGCGGTTTGGAGCAGGAAAGGCCAGAGAGGCTCCCTCCGTTGTCCCGGCCAGCGGTGCTGCTGGCTCACGAGTGGTGCAAGGCAACTAGCTGAAACGTCACTTGGGATTCACCCGCATATGTGAACCGGGGCCAGGTCGGGATGTAGTCACGGGCCAGACATGAAGGGAAGGAGGAGAAGATTTCTTTTTCTTTCCCTCTGTGATTTCTCAGTGTGCTCTTGGAATAGTTTCTGTATCTCACTCCTTGCCTGGTTTTCATTCTCTGTGCAAGTCTGTAGTATGTGTTAAGGCTCAGACCAGCTGAGGTACTGAATGCTTTTTATAATCTGCTTTCTGCATGACTATCACTTCCCTTACTGGTGCTTAGAGCCAGCCTTTTAAAAGGTCTTTTAGCTTGAAAGACAGTCTCTGTCTGCCCCCTCTCCCCCCAAAAAAGAAAAAAATGAACTAAAATGACAGCTCTCTGGAGGACAAAGTTTCAATTTCGGTGCAGTGTTCAAGGTTTTGAAACGTGTGGGTCGTCCCCCTCCCCCATCTTTAAAATAAAAACAAAACCTTTCAGTTGCTTTTACCAAAACAGCTGTGCTTGAAATGACAGGATTGAAACTTGAGCGATTTTGGTTCAGAAATGCCTTTTGGTTCTTGGGTCACAAGAGAAATCAACTTGCACTGTGAATTGATAATTGGCAGAGCCATTTTCAAGATCCTCCTTTGCCTGATTCTGGGCATAATATTTTGTCAAAGATTACTCAGAGCATATTGCCCATAACTATTGGCAGGGCTGTGTGCCTTCTGTAAAATACATGACTGGATTCCACCCATTTTCACAAGATTCTGTTTCAGAATTTATATCAACACGTGATCTCACAATACAGGGGTCAGCAACGTTTTTGGGCAGAATGCAAAAAACAGTAGCAACCTTGACGTATAAGAAGTTGGTGTGCCAGGGGCAGACGCCTGCAAGGGACCTGATCCTTTTTGTGGCAGCCAGGGCACTTGCCACCCTGCGCTCCCTCGGCTCCGGCCACTTGCTTCCCCCCCCGGTGTACGCTCTGTCAGCTCCAGCTACCCACCACCCCCACACTCTGCCAGTCTGGCCGCTTGCCCCCCCATCCTCATGCAGGCTGGTATACCCTGGGCCCTGCACACCCCTAGGGATGGCTCTGGTGGCTGCACAACCACAGCCCCTTCCCTGAGGTGCAAGTGCCAAGCAAAATGCCTTCACGTGCCACGCTCGGGTGTGTGTCCTGTGGGTTGCCTACCCGTGTCATATTGGTTCTAATGCCTCTCCATCTTATAAAGCTTTGGGTTTTTTTTATTTTGCTGACAAAACCTTCTTTTCCATGTTCCTTACCTTTGCATCCTACTTATGGAAATTTAATCACAATATATACAAATGTCAGTATAATACCCCCAAAAAACAACCAAAGTACAGAGGCAGTGTAAAATTAAGCAGAACAAAGTTAACACAAGGGTCTCTCTACTGTGGCCACATTTATTTTTAACTCACTCTGAGCCTTGTTTTTCTTTTAATTTGAGAATAGTGAACTGCTGCAATTTCCTGTACTAGCATGCTGACAAGTATGAGGCCATGTATTAGAAAGCCTGTTGATTTTGTTGGGATGCATAGGGTATTTCATTCTAGAACTTCATTAAGGGTAAGAAGTGCCATTGTTTGTTTATAACCTCAATTCTCAGTTTTCCACATGTGATATTTATATGATAGCAATTTCATGGCTGTATAAAAGTTGGTTGTTGATGAAAATCTTCTAGAGACAGATTTATCTGGTAGAAATGGCACATTATCTATAGTCAACTGTAAGTAATAAAAAGCATAACATTTAAATCGTCTAGCATTTACCTTTTAACGTGCTTTTTTTTGTTCTTAGGGAACAGATTGGTTGGCACATTCATTTGATGATTTCTTTGGGAACACAGATACCTCCTCAAGTACCCCTCCTGTGAAATTACCTGGGAAAGTCAAGCAGTCTCAGAAGAGAAAAGATCATTTCTCTATGCCAGAAAATAGCAAAAACATAGTTCTTGCCAGAAAGAAGGGAAAGGCATCTTCAGTACATCAGATTTGTAATCGAGCCAAACAAAATCAAAACCAATCTCAAAATGAACCATGGGTGGATAAATACAAACCAGAAACTCAGGTATAAAACTGTTAGAATTTCAGCTTGTATGATAAAAACCATAAAAACATCTTGGTGTAACTTTTAATGTTCCTTGCTCTCTACTAACTAGTCCTACCCAGATGCAGTTTCTAAATGTTGTGGCTTATTCCATCAGAGCACAGTCTGCAGTATTAGCAGATTATACCAGTTCTTTATTTGCTGAAGTACTGTTACTGGTGTGTTTCAAAAGAGTGTATGCACTATCTATCCCACAGAATTGGATCACTTAGTGAAATGAACAATTAGTATAAATTGCATCTTCAAGGTGTTTAACCTAAAAATACTTCATCTATGGACAAAAACAAATAAATGAGTTGAAAGTATACAAATTTGCAGAAAAGCTTAGCAAAAAATCATGCTAACTTTTTCAAATATTTTTATGCTTTTAGAATGATGCTTTCCTGAAATGATGATGTAGGCTTGTAAATAGCAAATAAACTTGTATCTCTGAGATTATTGCAAAACTCATTTTCTTCTTGGACATTTGAAAGCTGACAATTGAAGGAAGAGGAGGAAATAAATACGTGCTAGATTATCTTTAATTGCTGCGATTAGGATTTTTTAAAATTGTCAAGATTAATTAGATACAGATTTCCTGTTTAGCATTTCTGCAAACATGAATGCTATTCCTGAACTATATCAATAAAACCACCTAAAATCCACAGTTAGATATACATTTCATGTAATTTCTCCTTGTTCTAGAGTGATCTTGCTGTGCATAAGAAGAAGGTTGAAGAAGTTGAAACCTGGTTAAAATCTCAAATATTTGAAAGGCAACCAAAGCAGGTAATGCTAATGCATAGGTTTTTTTTAAATATCTGGCCAATAACAAAGTTATAAGAATTCATCTTAAGTAAGTGTACAAAATACTCTAGAGATGTTTTTATCCATGTTCTTGTAGTAGGGTTATTGAAACAGAATGGATGTTGTAGAGTATAAGAAGCTTCTCTGGTAGTATATGCTGGTAGAAGAATTCTGAGAACGTAGGCTAGAAGTTTACATTTAAAACTCGTTGTTCCTACATCCCTTCGGTCCTTGTACTTCTGAAAGGAATGGCTATATTATATTCCTCCTGCTTCATTGGTTAGGTATTTCATTAGTTTTTTATCAGTTTTCACCATTTTGCAACATCATTGAAAATTACAGGATTGCAAAGGTACATTTAAGGCCTGCTGTATGCTCTTGAACTTCTGTGATTGGGTGAAAGAACTAGCTTTGAATTTCATAAAACAAAATTGCTTTTCTAGAACTGGTTGTTGTAAAAGGATGTTTTTTTCCCCCTGACACTGTATTGTCAGTGTCTCCAGTTATAGCAAAATAATATTGCTGACACTGGGTTCTGTAATCTGTCACTGGCGTTTTTAAAAACATATACATCTGAATTGCTTCTTGCTAGGTGAACTTATGCATTTGCTAACTGTGGGCCATTTGGTTCAGAATTCTAAAATGGCAAGGTTGCACATGCTTATTCCTTTTTTTTTTTACCCTCTCCTTCTGAATTGTAGCAAAATTGTATTTTCTGCTTTGCAGATCAGTTCTATAGCTGCCTAGTTATAAGTATATAATAGCAAAGTCACATTGATGTGAAGTGATTGAGGTTTTTGTATTATTCAGTGAGTGAGGAGAAACACATATATACAAATATTTTCCATTTTGATCAAGTTTTAATAGTGTATTTTTAATACTGAAAATAAGCATTTCACAGCTACTGTGAAGCTCTGCTTTCTAGACTGTCTCCAGGATGTGGTGGTTGGATCCCAGTGCTGGACCTGTGCTTTTGATTTGCTGAGCTTGAGCAGAATCAAAGTACTTGCCTCTGGCTTCAAGTATATAAGCATACTCTGGGGGCACCAATCCTGTCTAGGTCCCATTTCACAAACCAGTTGCCTAGGTCTTGAGACTAGTGCCAGTTCACTGTCCCCAGTAGCTGAAACAGACCATTCCCATAGCTCTAGCCTTTTAGATCCTCTGGCTTATAGTTTGTTTCATCAGAGATATGTGATAGTTGAAGCAAATAAACACAGATTTATGCTTAGGTCCTTAAGTCATTCTTTGTTGTAGAAAACTTGGAAGATGCATGGGTCTAGGCAGAACACAAATGCCAGCATATGAATTGGTGTCTAAATTTCCTCATCATTCTTGGCAGGCAAGGTTCTTTGGGTAGATGTGATATCTTTTATTTGAGCGACTAAATACTTGGAAAAATGTTCTTTGCAAGTTTTCGGGCACAAACGCTTCTTCAGGCAGTAGGAGATTCTGTTGCCGAGTCTCCCAATGCCTGAAGAAGGGTGTTTGTGCCCAAAAGCTTGCAAAGAAC